AGGGTTAAGTTAAAAATTATAGTTTACAGCAAAATTTGAGTTTGCATGTTCTCCCTGTGTTCGCGTGGGTTTCCTCCAGGTGCTCCGGTTTCATTCAAAAGTCCAAAGACATGCAGTATAAGTGAATTGGGTAATCTAAAGTGTCCATAGTGTATGTGTGTAACTGAGTGTGTATGGGTGTTTCCCAGTGATGGGTTGCAGCTGGAAGGGAATCCGCTTTATAAAATATGCTGGATAAGTTGGCGGTTCATTCCACTGTGGCGACCACAGTTTAATATAAGGACTAGGCCGAAAAGAAAATTAATGTATGTGTATATATATATATATATATATATATATATATATATATATATATATATATATATATATATATATATATATATATATATAGAGGACTAATCTTATTGACCTTAAACCTTTTGTTTTTAATTATTAATACAAATTATATAGTGTAAAGCAAAATTAGTACACTTCAAAAAATGCTTTTCTTACTTTTCTTACAGTGTAAGGAGTAATTAGCCATCCTAATGAGATGTGAATCTTTTGAAAGTTCACAAAAGAAATCCCAAAAATAAATGACATATGCAAAAATAATATCAGTTTGTCTAAAGTGACTCTGTAAAAATCTGAAAAAGTGCTGAAATGTCTAAAGTGTTGTTCAGATGGCAGAACACTTGTATTATATTACACACAACAGGTTTAACAGCAAAGTTCTGATCATGTGAATCATGTCGAAGCTTTAGAAATTCATCTCTCGGTGACTTTTATAGGGTTAAGTCTCACGAGCAATGAAAAAGCAATCTCTAAGCGATGAAAATGTAGTCGCGAGTGAGTTCAGACTCTTTCTTAAAATACGGTTTAGCGTTTTAGCCTTGTGGAGACGGATGATATATTTAGGAGAAGTTTGTGATTTGAGTAATGCAAGGTGAAATCGGAGGTCTTGTGTCTCTCTCTCCTTCTCCACGGCCGTGTATTTGCTAAAAGTATTTTTTGTTTGCAAGATAAATGGCCGTTCTCCAGGCGAAGATGACAGGCAACACAAAGATGATATTGAATTGATTTCTGAAATGTTGCAGAACTGACTGTTTGATGTATACGGGCAGACATGAATCATAAAAATTCTATTAAAAAAGCTCTTGAATGGTTGACAGCGGAATATTATTTCTGATGATTAATTTGACTCAGTCATTATGGACGGGGGCTCCAGTCAGATCGCCTCCTACAAAATTGCTTTTCATTCCCTCTTGAATACCCCGGCAATCTCTCTCTTTCTCCCTCTCTTTTTTCCCTGAATTTAACATTACATGCTCCAAAGTTAGACTGATGTGAAACACAAGATTCAGTACAGTCTCTGTGACGAAGACAAAAGAGCAGAGGCGATCGCAAACTTCAGCGCTTTGAAAACATGCTCGCTGCTTTCACATTTAGAGTAGTGAAATCTTCACCTGCTAAACAAGCTGGATCTGATCTGATCACATCTCGAGTCAACAACTGACTGATTCCCATGATGTGTTTAGAGTGATTCTCCAGTAAACAACTCACTAATTCAAAGTGAGTCTTTAGTAAACAACCAACTGATTTAAATGATCCATTCATGGTGATTTTCCATTCACCCAATCATTGATTCAAATGATCCATTTAGAGTGAGTATTGAGTAAACAACTCACTGATTCAAATGATTTGTTTAGAGTGAGTCTCCATTCAACAACTCATTGATTCAAATGATCCATTCAGAGTGAGCCTCGAGTAAACAACTCACTGATTCAAATAATTTGTTTTGAGTGAGTCACCATTCAACAACTCACTGATTTAAATGATCCATTCAGAGGAGTCTTGAGTAAACAACTCACTGGTTAAAATCATTTGTTTAGAGTGGGTCACCATTTGACAACTCATTGATTCAAGTGATCTATTTAGAGTGAGTATCGAGTAAACAACTCACTGATTCAAATAATTTGTTTAGAGTGAGTCTCCATTCAACAGCTCATTAATTCAAATGGTCCATTAAGAGTGAGTATCAGGTAAACAACTCACTGATTCAAATGATTTGTTTAGAGTGAGTCAACATTCAACAATTCATTGATTCAAATGATCCATTTAGAGTGAGTCTTAAGTAAACAACTCACTGATTAAATGATCCATTCAGAGTAAGTCTTGAGTAAACAATTCACCGATTCAAATGAGTTGTTCAGAATGAGTCACAATACAACAACTCACTGGATCAATTGATCCATTCAGAGTGAGTCTTGAGTAAACAACTCACTGATTCAAATGATTTGATTAAAGTGAGTCACCAGTCAACAACTCATTGATTCGAGTGGTCCATTCAGAATGAGTCTTGAGTAAACAACTCACTGATTCAAATTATTTGTTTAGAGTGAGTCATCATTGAACAACTCATTGATTCAATTAATCCATTCAGAGTGAATCTTGAGTCTACAAGTCATCGATTTAAATGATACAAGTCACTGATTCAAATGGTTCATTCAGAGAGTTAGTCTTGAGTAAATAACTCACTGACTTAAATGATCCATCCAGAGTGAGTCTCTAGTGAACAACTCTCTGGTTCAAATAATCCATTCAGAGCAGATCTTGAGTCTACAAGTCATCGATTTAAATGATCCATTCAGTGTGAGTCTTGAGTAAGCAACTCACTGATATAAATGATCTATTCAGAGTTAGTCTTGAGTCAACAATTTACTGATATAAATGATACATTCAGAGTAAGATTTGAGTCAACAACTGACTGATTCAAATAATCTGTTCAGAGTGAGTAAACAACTCACTGAATCAAATGAGTTGTTCAGAGTGAGTCACAATTCAACAACTCGCTGGATCAATTGATGTCTTCAGAATGAGTCTTGAGTGAACAACTCACTGGTTCAAATGGTTTGATTAAAGTGAGTCACCATTCAACAACTCATTGATTCAAATGATCCATTCAGAATCACTTTCCGTGATTTCGGAGCCAGATCAGAAGCTGCCAACTGATGTGCTTCCAAAAAAGTGATTCTTACTTGTTTAACTGCATAATATTTATGTAATTGTGTTTATGTCTGTTTGCAAAGTAATTAGGCAAGCTTCGTACTAATGCTCAGATGTCAGAAGGGCTTGAGCTATTCTGACTTTAGGTTAATTGTTGTTGTTGTTGTTTCATTTTGCATCAGTTGTTTTGCATTAGGGTTGCTTATAGTATTTGCATTTTGTATTTTTTGTATTATTTGAACAGAGATATGTTAAACATTTTATTTATTATTTATTTTTTTATTAATATTTGCTTTAGTCATTTTTAAAATGTACACTACCAGTCAAAAGTTTGATGTCAGTATGAGTTTTAAATGTTTTAAAGTAAGCTTCTCCTGCTTATCAAGGCTGCATTTATTTAATTAAAAATACAGCACACATTGTGAAATGTTATTGCACTATAAAATAACTGTTCAAAGGGAGTTTATCATTTAATTTAATCATTTATTCCAGTGATTTTAAAGATGTATTTTTAGCTTCATTACTCCAGTCTTTAGCGTCACATGATCCTTCAGAAATCACTCTGATATTAATTATTATTATTATTATTATTATTATTATTATTATTATTATTATTATTATTATTATTATTATTATTATTGTTATTATTATTATTATTATTATCATTATTATTATTATTATTATTAATGGTAATACTAAATAAAAGTAGTAATTTCTGGTGTAATTAATTAATTTGAAACTACATACATTATATTAAGAAAGCAGTTATTTAAACTTTTAATAAATATTTTACAAT